AGGCAGGAAATGTTTATTCGCGTTTGATTGGGTGGGCCTTTGCTGCGTCTCTGGGAACAGTTTAAACAAACTATTTCAGCATCCTGTTTAAATTCGCTTTCAGAGAGGGAGGACAAGGCGAGGCGGGCCTTGCGCGCTTATGTAAGATACGCTCGCTCAGCCTGGAAAGAAGCCTCCGATTCTGATTTTACATCAAAAAATTCTAGTTGTTTTATCAAGACCGATCGTGCTATCTGGCCACGCAAGAAAGAAAGGGATTGTTCAAGTGACCGCAGATGTGTAAAGTACGTAACACCCTACATAATGCGGCGAGGCCTGGCGAGGACCTGCCACTGACCAGGAGGAAAAGAAGGAAATCAGACAAAGAGACAGAGCGGGAAGAGTGGGACATTTGTTTCAGCATAACGAATAAGAACCAAAACGCCACAAAAAGAGGGCGGCGGTGGGCACTGAAGCGCCGCCAATCATACAGACAATTAAATAATCAAACACATTTACTTGGAAATTTCCATCTTGGTTTTCCAGGTCCAGTGCCCAGTCCCAGATCAGTTCCAGCTCTCTCCCAGGCAGCTTTGCTCTGTGTTTTGCGCTACCACTGAAAGCACCAAAAGGGTTCTGAGAAGCAAAGCCATGGAAGAACCACTTTTGGTTCCCTAAAGAACTACTCAATGAATTGTTCTTTAAGGCACAAATGAGATGTGAGGAACCTTCACATTAAGTTTTTAAGCCTTTAAAATGTTTTTCACACTTTGGGCTCCCTGCAGAACTTTTCGCTGGATGGTTCTTTAGCCCCTTAAAATCACAGGCTTATTACATACTAAGGCTTATTACTCAGTAACTACAGGAACTTCAGTGCAAACTGGTTGAGCTATTCTTAGGTCATAGAACAGTGTAATAAAACTTTGGGCCTGCCGGTGGACCCCAGCCATGGAAGGGGTTAAGTCACTATTTTTGTAAATGAAATGAAGAACCTCTACATAAGGTGAGAGTTATTTGTCAGTTACTAATTCACAACAACTGATCCAAACCCTTATAATAATTTATAACAGCTTATTCCAAATTGCAGCATTTGTCTTTCTGAGGTGAATAAACGTCCGTCAGGCTCCTTCTGACAATGTTTTTAAAAAACAGTTAAAAACATATTGACTTTAGCGTTTAACTAGTTTTTTTTATTGTTTCCTTTGTTTTTACTGAATATTACTATTACTTTTATTTTCTTGTCAGCTGCATTTTTATTGTAATTTTTTCTTTTTTTTATTTATACTTTTATCTTATGCTTGTTAATTGTAATTACTAACATATCCATTTTCTGCTATTTGTTTGTTTTTTTTATTTGTGATTATCTTTATCTTTTTTCTCTTCCTCTGTTGTTTTTACTTCGAGCTGCATTTTTAATGTATGAAAGGTGCTATATAAATAAATGTTTATTATTATTATTATTAATGCTGACAACCTTTGTGAGCGTTGCTTGATGGAATTTAGCCTTTATAAATGTTTATGTAGGTTTATGTTGTCATTAAAGGCTTACTTAGGTGACATCTAGCCTTATGAATGCTGCCCTTCACTAAAGTGCTAACCTACTTTTCAAGAGTGTACAGCTCCCAGAAGCTACTTTTCCTCATAATTTGCAGTGTTTATTTTTGTATACTTTAAATGTCAGTTTCCAAATCACACAAAATGTGTCGCAATCTATAAAACATAAGAGAACCTGTCTGCGTTCTGAGGAATCTTTCCTATTCCATTATTATCAGCATCAACACGATCCGTTGGGTTGACAAGTTTCTGCAGGAAACTGCCCAGCAGGTCTTTCCAGACTTTTAACAGACTTGGGCTTCAGACTGAAATCCACAGGTCTTTTCACATTTTGCCCAGTAATTAAAATTGACTGATGCTTGGTTGCCCAGCTGAAGAGCAACTGATTTCAGAGGTGGACGATTGGTCGTGCAGAAGTTTAGCTTTAATTCCAATTGCAGCCAGCATTTGCAGATGTTTGAGGTCTGAGAACACTATTCATAACTTGGATCCATCACTGGAAGTGGAAAAACGCAAAGGAATGGGGCATTTTATTTGAAATTAAACAGAGATGTGTTGCAGGGAGGACAATCAGGAAGAAAATGTACTGCAGGTGTAAGCTGACGTCACCGCAGCGCAAGATGTGGATCTGTGGTGGATTAGCTGAACCGCAGAGCCAAAGTTCGTTGCGGTGGAGTTTATCTCGTTGCGCAGGAGGAGATCATCTCTTCTTAACACCGTCTTATGAAATGCTGAGCTGATCTCGTGCTAAGCCATGTTTATTGCAGTTAGGCTATATTAGATGAGGGGCATTAACAGGTGCTACTGTGGACTTTGTGATGGAGTCATGGGAAATGCATAGGGGATGGATTGGGGACGGACCCACCTGCTGGAACCAACAGCTTTCCCTTTTTTGTACAGAATGTCAGTCACCTGAGCTCTTCAGCCTTAGGAGACAGGCAGTCACTCATCAGCACGTCACAGAAGTCGCATGTCAGTAATGCTGAGAGCACACGTTCTGCCTTGTTGTTGAAAATGTCGTGTGATCAGGTGTTGTAATTCGTAGCCTCACATCTTCTTCCGTGCATATCTTTATGATTCTAAGACACGATGGAATGTGTTGGTGGCTCTGAGGTAATGCCAATGCCTCAACGCCATGTGCCAAACAATGGTCATATGAACAGTTCGTGTGTGGTAGATTAGACCAAAATGTTTTATATCATCTGGTCTACATTCATAATGTTTGTTATTACAAATTAAAGATGGAATGTGTTGTCTTCTGCTCAGATGAGTCTCTCTGAGATGATTGGAATGATGATTATGGACATATTATATCCTACAGGTGCCAGAAGTGCTCAGTGTCATAGAAGAACGTTTTGGTCCCCTGTAGAACCTTTCAATGGATTTTTCTTTAAAGAGTTATTCATACTCATCTCATTGTTTAAATGAGATGAGTGTGAATAACAAGTTTAAAGTAAACACAATGTAAAGGTTCTAGCTCTTAAATAGGTATAGAACCATTACGCTACATGAAGGTTTTTTGGGCCTTTAAATGGTTCTTGCATTCACAAATATATTTTTCAAACATGGTTCTTTACAGAACCAAAAGCGATTCTGTGTGGCATTGTTTAAAGAACCCTTTGTGGCACCCTTTTAAAGGGTTTAGAACCAGTTTTGGTTCCACAAAGAACCTTTCGATGGATCATTCTTCAAAAAAACGTGTTTTTTGGAAATGAGATGGGTGTGAAGAACCACTTTAAAGTAAACATAATTCTAGCCCTTAAATAAGTGTAGAACCATTACGTTCCGTGAAGGTTTTTTAAACCTTTAAAATGTTTCTTATTCTCACAAATATCTGTTTCAAACACGGTTCTTTACGGAACAAAGTGATTCTGTGTGGCAGAGTTTAAATAACCCTTTGTGGCACCTTTTATAAGGGTGAAGGACCACTTTTGGTTACATAAAGAACCTTTCAGTGGATGGTTCCTTACAGAACCACTTTTTTGTAAATGAGATGAGAGTGAAGAAGCGTTCTAAAGTAAACATAATGTAAAGGTTTCAGTCCTTAAATAGGTATAGAAACATTATGTAAAGGTTTTTAAGCCTTTAAAAAGTTTTTTACTCTCACAAATATCTTTTTGAAACATGGCTCTTTACAGAACCAAGTGATTCTGTATGGCAATATTTAAAGAACCCTTTGTGGCACCTTTTTTAAGAGTGTAGGACCACTTTTTGGTTCCATAAAGAAACTTTCAATGGATTGTTCTTCAAAGAACCAGTTTTTTATAAATTAGATGAGTGTGAAGAACCATTTTAAAGTAAACATAATGTAAAGGTTCTAGCCCTTAAATAGGTCTAGAGCCATAACATTACATGAAGGTTCTCGTAAGCCTTTAAAAGGTTTCTTACACTCATAAATATCTGTTTTAAACATGGTTCCGTACAGAACCAAAAGTGATTCTGTATGGCATCATTTAAAGAATGCTTTGTGGCACCCTGTTTTAAGGGTGAAGGGCCACATTTAGTTCCATAAAGAACCTTTCAGTGGATGGTTCCTTAAAGAACCATTTTTTTGTCAATGAGATAAAAAAGTGAAGAATCTCTTTAATGTTTAAAGAACCTTTACAGTATGTAAAGAGTGTGGAGGGTGTTTTTCTAAGCCTAAGCAGTTTTTCACACTCACCGATCTCCTTTTTCAAACGGTTCTTTAGGGAATCAAAAGCGGTTCTTCCAAGGCATTGTTCGAAAAACCTTTGTGGCACCTTTGTTAAAGAGTGCAGAGCCACTTTCAGTTCCCTTTCTACGAATGGCTTACTATTTTGTATAAAGACCTTTCTAAATTTTAAATAAGCTCCACATAATGTAAAAACATCAGTCAACGTTTTCTAGAACCATACACCCAAGGCTAGAACCATTCAAGATCCTTTATTTTTAAGAGTGTAGTAGGATAAATCTAACTATGGAGCAATGCTGGAAGACTCCCACTAAAAAAGACCAGCTATTAGAAAGAAGTGTGATGTGGCAGGTGATGGGTTTGGTTCATGCTTGTCTCCATTTCTCATGACACTGGAGTTAAGAAATCTGTTTCTTATGAGAAAAGGTTTATGAATCTGAGACTGGAAGCGCTGCTTGTTTGCTTTATTTATGATTCTACAAGCTGCATCCATTTTAAGGCCTTTTAAGGCCTTTAACACCATTCTAAGGCCTTAACTTACAAAGTTATCTACTTCTGCCTGTGCTTTCTGTGTGGAACTCCATGTGTTTTCTTTTTTCACAAAATTGATTGTTCTGGACAAGGTTCTCGCTCATGTCAGCCTCCTGTTTGTGTCTGTGTAGTCTGCGAGTACACCCAAATTACAGCGATCCTTGTCGGACTTGTTTAAAAGGCGTTTGAGTTCAATCCGCATTGTTTGAGCCATTACACTGCGCACTGGCTTAGATCCTCATGGTGTTGGCTTACAGCTTTTTCCTTGTCTTTCACTCCCCAGGATCGCCTGTTCTTTGTGATGGAGTACGTGAATGGAGGGGACCTGATGTTCCAGATCCAGCGCTCACGCAAATTTGATGAAGCCCGCTCCCGTTTTTACGCCGCTGAGGTCACCTCTGCACTCATGTTCCTCCACCGGAACGGGGTCATTTATAGGTAACGTACCATGCGGCCAATGGCACGTGGGTGAAATAAAACAGACCCAAACACTGCATTGTCTTGTGCTGTACAGCTGCAACGCGTCCCTAAAAGCAAAAATATGTTTGATGTGCCATCCAGAGACATAGCGTCATTGTGCGGCGGTGTCAAGTGGACAAAGTGCGAGAACCACCCAGCCTTTTCAACCAAAACACCATTGTGATCTATAACAAACATGTTATAATTTTAGTTAATAATGTTTTGGACCCAAAGATGAGAACATTTTTTTCCTCAATTCAAAGCAGCTTCCCGATTTGGTGGAATTACGTGACAGCAGCGTGTTGTCACGCAATCTTATATAGCCGAAATCCAGCGTAACTCGAGTGGGGTTCACTTCTCGTGAACTGGGTCAGAGTTGGAGCCGTGTGTGTTGGGTGGCTATTTAGGCTAGAGTTGGGGGCGTTTATGGGCCTTGTTTACCTCAGGTTGTTTACTTGGAGGAGCCATGTCCATCAGATGATTTATTCGTTCCAGGACAGTTTGTTTATGCACTGGTTTGAGTGTCATTAAGCACACACAACAGGCCGTGCTTTGGGACATGAAGTTGGCATTCCTTTCCAATTTTTGCTCCACACTTTCGTTAAATCTGGGATGTACCATCTCTATAGTGTGACGATCAGTGTGTATGATCTTCAAAAATATTTTTTTTAGATTTTAGATCCCAAAGCCACATCCCGTATATGTATACTTACATAACCTGAGGTTTTTATATATAAATCCGAGTAGTCAGTCTCTAAACAACACTAGTTAATCAGTGTACTGCGCTGAAGTGGATAGTAGATGAGTCTTGACTTCTTCATGTCGAATGTATCTAATCACGTGCACCAAATTTCTTTCTACAGGGTTTGTAACCTTTGATAAGGAACTGTCACAATGTTCCACTAAATTCTAAGTTTTCACACAATGCACACTGCTATATTTAATTATGCAGGGCCAATTATGCTTTTTGTACTCATCATTGGGATTCAGTCTTACAACCTCCCATCCACAGAGCACAACCTTAGACAACTACGCCACTTTGCAACCTTTTCTAAACCTCTTCTGAAACATGCAGCTGATCAGTGTTGTTAAAGTACTGATGAGAACCATAATATGCACTGAAAAGCTTGTTGTGGCGTATCGTGATCAAGATTTATCACCATATTGATGCAACCGTTATCTAAACCATCACATCACTGATCAGCCCATTAGATCCATATCTGTTAAAATGCAGGGCACAGGTCAAGTCCCCATCCCTGTGGGCTCTAATGACCCCAGTAACCTCTCAGCCCTCCCGCCCAGCCATTCTCTGCCTGCTGTTAACGCTCTTTTGGGGCCTGAACAGGAAGAATCTCATTTGGAGCTGAATGTTGTTGTATTGAATTAAAACCACCTCCTCCCTGGTTTTCCTGAATGCAGGCCTTGCAGAGAAGGAAGGCTAATGGGGGTTCTTAAGAAACTGGGGCATTGCAGATGAAAAGGTCAGAAAGTTTAATGTTTATAATTGCCGTGTTTATTGGTTTTTGCTGAAATATTTGAGCGAATAGAATTACAGTTGTCTCATTGTCTCGTCCTGCGCCTACGTAACCGTTTCTCTCTGGCTGCTCCGATTAGGGTTCGGTACATTCTGCCCTGCTCCTCTATTCAATTTCAGAAAGAGGCAGCCATGCTTGACTGGGACTGCTATGTAATGGATGAATAAATTTGTGCCTGTGAGTGTTTTTTAATAGAAGATATTATCATTTATCTCTGAAGTCACAGTGAGGAATTCCAAAGAAATCTGAAATTTATAGACCTCAAGATATGCATGTTCTCAATACAAGACCTAAACATGCTGAGGCACTAAAATTAGCTGTGGAAGGGGAATTCCACAGATTTCTCAATACTTCTACAGAATTACATTGTTGGGATATGAACATCCTAAAAGCCATTCAGAGTGGATTGGCGTGTTGATCTGGAGAAACCAAGTCAGAATTGTTCACAGTGGTGGTGATGGGAGCCAGACGTCTGAAACGGTTAATGACTCTAAAGGCTCCCTCACAAAAAGTTGTTACACAAAATGAGACGTTGTCTAACAATAGTATTGAGATAATATTTTGGCCTAAAATGTATTTATTTAAATCCATTTACGGTGGAGAAACACATGCAGGGCATTGTAAGGCAGAATAGTTTCTAAAGAAATCGTTCTTTTCAGATTTACCACTAGTTACCATCGTCAACATGCCGTATAAAAATTGGGAAGATGTGTAGGTTCTTTGGTGGTTTTAGATAGATAATAAAATGGCTGTATTTGTGTTGCAGACATCACAATCCCTGGCCCCTATATCCAATGTAAAGACATCTGAGTTAGTAAATTTGAACCATTTCACATCAAATCATTCTGAAAGACTTTGCATGTAACATCCAAACTATACAAAACTATGAAAAATTGGTGGAATGTCCCTTATATAGGAATACTGTAATTTTACATAGCGAATTAAGGAATTAAAGCTTTGTGTATTAAACACTCGACAAGTATAACCGTGATGTAAAAATGATTGTATTTATCTGCAATTGCAGACAATCTTTTTGCTTTAAAATGAACCATAGTCTTGTCTTTTTCTGTTGCAAGAATAATCTGTTTCAGCTGGATAAGCGAGGGTCAGATGATGGTAATCCTGACGACACCGTGATTGCCTGATTCAGAATGCTCATTCAGACAGTATCCACTCAGAACATACAGATAGCGTGTGCTGTTTAGTCTGCAGCAGTGAGAGATCTGATTCATTTCGTGCAGAACATGTAACCGCACACCAAGACCCTTCGGCTAACTCTACTGAATCAAGCTTATCACATCATTTTGCATGTTGAACTAAATTTGACAATGATTTGACTTTTAACGTTGATTCACCCAAGATCTAAGCAAATTTTCCCCAGACGGACGATGCGAGTTCTATTCTAGAGTCTGGCAGTTTGGAAAATAGCCATCTGGCTGGATGTACACACCTCATGACCTTATGAGCCTTCATTTACTGTAAGGGTCATTGCCTTAACGTTTGACCAGTGAATGGAAACTGGACAGGATGTGCTCCAACCAGTATGAATGGCTCATTGTGTGTTATGAGAATAACACACATAAACACAAACACGTCTATTCATACCCTACTGCTGTAATGTGGTTCCAGGACTGATCCCCTCTCTGTGGGAATGTAACACACCTTAAGAGCAAAGCATGCTGGGAGGTCGGGTAATTAGAGGGCCTCACTAATCGGCCTCGGCTTCCCTAAGCTCAGAAGCGCTGGGGGGGAAACAGAGAGAAAGATTGAACATTCACTGGACTATAAGATATATATATATATGTATATATACACACACACACACACACACACACACACACACACACACACACACATATCATATATATATATATATATATATATATATATATATATAAACCGCTGCTGTTGGAACCTCTTATTTCCAGTTTTTGTCGTTTTTCAGTATTTGGCGTAGTTTGAAAATGCCTGTTGTCCTTTACATTGTGCATCATTTTTATGATGAATGGACCAAAAGAAATGACCCTGGATTACTTGAAACGACGTCTGGTTCCATTGACTTGCATTGTCACCAGTATGTTTTTCTTTCTCCTGTAAAGTTATTTTGGAGATACAAGTTTTTCTTTTGTTTTTTTTTGTTTTTTTTTTGACAGCAGCGATATAAAGATTATTCGATTATTTGGCCAGAAATCTCAAATGTAATCAGCCAAGTGATGTTTTGTACCCAAAGTTTGCTTCTCCTAGTTTCTTTAGTTTGGTTTAAAGGTTCACTGAATTGCCCTGCGATGGACTGGCGACCTGTCCAGGGTGTATCCTGCCTTCCGCCCAATGACAGCTGGGATAGGCTCCAGCACCCCACCGCGACCCAGAAGGATAAGCGGTTTAGATGATGGATGGATGGATGGTTCACTGCAACAAACCATTTCACATCAAAACACTCTGAATGACTGTTTACATCTTAACTATTGATTTATGCAGAAAGTTTGAAAAAGTTGTGGAATTCTCCCCTAAATACCACACTAATACACGAACATCATGCTTATTGAATGTGTGCTTTCGACCACCACTTCTATTTACTGCTGTCTTTCCCATAGATCAAAATGCGGATGGGAGATATCAGTTTAGTCATCATTTCTGTTGTAGTAATAAAAAAGAGAAATAAATAAATAAAGTTTTGCTTAACTGTGCTATTAATATGTGCTGGTAAACTCACATGCAGCTTGCATTTGTCTTGCCGCAGTTGAAGGAAAAGCCCGAAGAAACCAGAGAGCAGCTTGCGTGTGAGTCGAAGTGAAAGTGTGGTGGGGCAGCATTTTTGCTTCAAATAACTCATCCTACCTCGCTTTGACCTCCTTGACACCACACACCTTGAAGAAAAAAAAAAACAGATCGACAAAACAGTCTGCACTGTCGCAATGCAACATTCTCCTCCCCCTCAGAGACAGACGGGACGAGGTGTATGTCAGGGACAGTGGCAGTCTGAAGTGTTTTCCATAAAGCGTGTCTGAGCTCGCAGGTCTGGAGATTCGGCAGTGGCCTGTGTGCCAGGGCATTCAGAATCTCTAAAGCAAGAGAAGGAAGAAGAAAGAGTGAGGGCATCCAGGGACACAGACACACCTTCTTTCCTTTTGATCCCCCATCCTTCTCTATCCACTGAATCATCTTTCGTGCTATTGTGGCTTGCAAGAGTTGCACTTGGCAGGACATCCTGTAGACACAGGTCAGCAAGTGTGCAGTGCCAGTGTTTGTTATACAGTAGCAAACACTTTCATTGTCTCCATCATGATAAAACCGTGTATTTCCAAAACAGCATCGTTTTGGGAGATCAAAAAAAATTGTTTTTCTTTCGTCAGATGTAGAGGTCCTCATTTGACTGTTTGGCCTTGCATAGCTGTGAAATTCACAGCAGTGGTAAAAATAAATCAAAATTGTCAAAATGTTAGC